TCAACAAAAACTTAAAACACACAACCATTTATTCGATCAAACTGCGAACCCATTCACGATATTTATTTGAATATGTATTGTAACTAATCACTGTCTTTGCTCTTCTAAAATTTCAAGCTTTCAAACTTGCTTCATAGGCTTCCTTAATGTCTTTGATTTTTGCACGAGCATCCTAAAGATATTCTATTGTGATGAGGTTTCATAAGATTAAAAGCCGAAACATAGCGTACCGCCAGTGGGGTCCAGCCTCCTAAAGATGACAGCCGAAATGCCAGAGCTATCACTACACAGAAATGAATCTTTTTGTAAAATGCACCTGGCCTCACCCTAAGTAGGTGGGGGATAGGATGAAAGCGACTTAAAGCATTGAAATGAAGTAATTAGTACCTAGCACACTTCTTAGCAAGATCTTCTACATCAAAACATTCCTTCTTCTCTATATCTTTCATAAGAATTGTTGACACCCAAATTATAGGAGCTCTAAGGTTAGAGGTTAAGTTCATTCTTATAGGCCAACCATAGTAGTATAGGTTAGCGCCAACCTGCCCAAACCATCAAAACTCTGAATTACAACTGGTGGAATGTAGTTGTCCAACGATTTTCTCATAACCTAAAAGTCCGTTTCGGATTTTTGCCAAGATCTGGAAGAAAAACAAGTCTATCTAGTACCTGAATTTCTCTTTTAGATAAATTTTGCACAAATGGACCAAGTAAGTCGAGATCGGGCCAAGTATCTGTCGGCCAACCTTCATAATGCATCAGTACCAGCTAAAGACAACATTTCACAAATTATTCAAATATTTTTATCGTATTTAAATATAAGTTTACAGCTCGTCCTTTCTTCTCTTCAACAACCTCTTCTTCTCCCTGAGCTCCTTCCTTCTGCTAAAAGATTTGACTTCACCAAGAAAATTTTACATCAACAAGAACTGAAAGTTGAACTGAACCGAAGGGGTTTTACTCGCGACACTCGTAGATGATTCTAGCCCAGGATCTGTGCTCGTCAATTGAAGATCATAAATGGAATATCCTTTATAATCGGTTTTCTTCTGACATTCTATCACAAAACGATTTCCTCCTATAACCATCCTTTGGCCCTCCTTCATTGGCCAGTAAGGATAACAGAGGTTTGCACTAGTTTCGCTTAATTTTTCACTTAGAGAAACACAAATCTTGCAGCCATCCTGGAAAAAAATTATTACCAGAAATGTTACGATAGTTGTGGCAGTTATTTGTCATACTCTCCAAACCATTCGCCAAAAATCACGATAGTTTTCTTTTGTGGGAGCTTGTGTCAAAATGTAGTCATCTCGTTCGCAACATGCGTAGGTCGCTGGGAAGTATTCGGAATCACCTTCCTTTACCTAAAGTTGTAAAGGGATGAATGGCATGCAAACAAGCATTGATGTCATGCATCACGGAAGATTTCTATAATAAACAATTCTACAAAGCACCCTGTCATCGCCTAAGAATAACTTGCAGTGATTCGGTTTTAAAAAATCCAGTCACACGCAAACTCCAAAATAAGCATTACAGCTTTGCAACCTCCTCTAGTCATTCCAATTTAGAGTCTTATTCATAAACCCACTGAGGAGGGAAGGAGAGTCTACTAATTTTTTGGTGTGGAGACCATCATAACTGAGAATGAATTCCAGCGAGGTAGGGGATTCTG